TCAAGGGTGCGAAGTTCGTCTGCCCTGTCGTCGCACTCCCCATAACACCAGCAACGGGAAAACAGCGGATCGGTGGAGTTAGCTCTTTCGGTTTCGGAGGCGCAAACGCACATGTGGTGCTGCAGGAGGCTCCTCATCCATGCGTTGGTAGGCGTCCATGCAAGGCTCAAAAGCCCACACTTGTGTGCTTTATGTTCGGCTGCCAAGGAGTGGAAGGCTTGCACAAGTGCCGTGTACTTTACGAGAGCGACTCGGCCTTCGCAAAAGCCATCAACGACTGTGGCGATATACTTAAGCGTTTGGTTAGTGTTCCACTTCTTTCCATTCTCTTCTCTGAGAAGGACACACCGAAGGATGCGGAAAGGGGTCACGGCCAACAAACCCAGCACTGGCTGCGGCAGACACGTTTCGCGGATCCTGCACTTTTCGCATTCGAATATGCCATCGGCCGTAGCCTCATTGCACAGGGTGTCAAGCCAGATGCTGTCATGGGGGTAGGTGTAGGAGAATTCGTTGCTGCGGCAATTGCAGGGGTCATGAGCTTGGAAGACGGGCTACGGGTTGCGTGTCAAAGGGCAAAACTTGTGGAGACATTCCTGCCATCTGATACTGTAGCCGTGGCCTGTAGGGTGGGTGAAAAGGATGTGGAAATGGCTATTTCCGAGGCCGGAGGAGCAGCAGGCTCTACTTCGTCGGTTGCTATGTCCCTAGTTTACGGGCAGAAGCAGCTGGTCTTAACGGGAGTTCAGTCGGAGCTGGAATCCGTGTTAATGAAGCTTGACATAGCTGGTCGTTTCAAATACCTGCCTGACCGTGTGGGCTTCTCGTCGCCTCTGTTGTCAGACGTCGTTACTCCCCTGGCTCGGATCATCGGTGGTGTAAAGTTGTCGCGTCCCACCGTAAAGATGATCTGCCCAACAACCGGAGAATTCTGTGATGAACAAGTCCTCAGCCCCCATTACTGGACCCAACACTTGATAAGAACAGTGCGATTCGATCAGTGCATCAGCAATCTTGTTTCGGCCGGATGCAAGTTGCTCGTGGAAATCAACGGCAGGGCAGCTTTGATCCGAATGGGCCAGCAGAGCGTTGACGAAA